GAGATGTAGGAGGGGGACGTTCCCTTTCCCAGGCAGCTTGCAGGAATTGTGGCCGTCAGGAACGCCAGCAGAGAGAAGGGCAGGATGCTGGAGCTTCACAGCAAGGAGAACGTGCCCATTTTGGCCACGGCCACGCAGTGACAGCTCTGGACAGACCGAGCAACGCCCTTGTAACTGAGACAACAGCATCACTACATGTACGTCAGGCTTGTCAGAAAAACTGAGTTTCAATTCTAACCAGTGCTTCTGCCCCGCGCCCCGTCTGTACCACCACACACCCTGGCTATGTCCACGGCAAGCGGTTGCAGTGCAGGATCAGTCCCAGCAGCCAGTAGGACAAGAAGAATCCGAGAATGCACTTGCCGAGAGGGGTAATTAATCTAAAGTTCAGCAGCAGCCTCACAACGGGGTTTTCTGAAGTCCCTTTCCCACAGGAACCAGGAGATTTACCTAGAAGAGACTTCTCGGAGCGAGGTGCCGCAGTTTGGTTATCAGTCGCTTCCCTCCAGAGCAAAGGTTCGTGGTCCTGAAGCAGGTGAGCGGAGAACCAGTACAGGATGGGAGAGGAGGAGCCAAGGAAGCGGGTCAGCACCTGAGGACAACAGGCAGAGCAAACATCACACAAACTGCAGGTCTCCGACGGTGACCAGCCCCGACCCCGAGGCACGGACGGAGTCATCTGCCTCAGACCGCTGATAAAGGGAACCGACATACGGCCCCGATTCATGGTGCTGGGATTTATTACACCGAATGAAACCCTCAGCTCAACCTGCTTGAGTTATTACATTTGGGTCAGCAGTCAAGCAGTCCCCAGGTTTTGGACAAGCATGGTCACTAGTTGTCACCCCTTGTCACGTCCAGCTCAGGAGCTGGGCAGGGGCACTGGAGATTTGAATCTTATTCTTCAACTATTTTTTTCACTGGAAGCCCCAACCTTTAGTGCCACCAGCTGTGCCCTAAAAAGACCTTCAAATGCTTTCTAGAGACTGGGGACAGGCTCTGCATCCTTTTGTTGCCATCCATGAAGCTCGGCCCAACACAATGACCCGGCATCCTTGTCCCCCAAGAGCTGATCAGCAGGGCTTGGCGAGCCCGGCCTTAAGCACACATCAAACGCCACCCAACACCAGCCAGACCCTTTGATCCCGGTGCCGGTGTCCTCACCACCCTGAGCACCTGGCAAGCTCTCTCCAGGAGCTTTCCAGCTGAGCAGAGGAACTAACTGGCTTTGGAAACTCCCTGTGGAAGCAGCTCTGAAAGAGGACAGGCTGTGACTGTCACCACCTCAGCCACCACGCCGCATTCCCCTGAAGAAGTGACTCCTCAACGTCGCCATGAAGGTCCTACCTGCACGTGCACGCAGAAGAATCCAAACGCCAGCAGGACCGTGGCGTGGACCACATACACGAAGACAGCAGGGCAGCAAAATCCAGCTCTCGGTTTATCCTCTTCTTCACCCTTTCTTCTCTCTAGACCAAGAGTTAGGCAGTGCCGGGGGTTTGCGACGATGTAGGTCCAGGCGGCCCACGAGCCCAGAAGCGTGACAGGCAAAGCAAGCAAGAAATTAGGTATCTGCCTGAGCTCAAAATACCTTAGAAAGCCCACGTTCCAGTAAGTGTCTTGAATATAGGAATAGACCACAGGGAAGCGCTGGGAGCACCACGGGGGTTTAACCCCGTCCATGGTCACCAGACGATAGCCCTTGGCCAGAGCCAGCTGCAGCAGCGGCTTGGGAACAGCCCGCTCCAGGCCGGTGGCGGGACCACAGAACCTCACGTAGGCATAATACTGAAACAAAGCAAAAGGCAGAAAAATCCCAGCACACATCAGAACCGCTGAAGATGCCACGCTAAGGAGCTGCTTCCACAACGTCGGGACCTTCCTTCCCGATCCTGAACCCACCTGGAGCTGGAGGGCCAAGCATTTACCACAGGAGTAGAGAAAGAAGCCGGCGTTGATGAGCCCGTTGGCACGCACCCCAGAAGCGAGGGAGAAGAGCAGCCCGCTGAGCCAGCTCTGCCCTTTCTCCAGTTGCCACATGGCGCTGAACACCAGGAAGGCAAACATGCTCTCCGAGTAAGCAGCCGCCAGGAACACGGTGGCAGGGCTGACAGAAAAGAGGAGGGCGGCCAGGAAAGCCACCCCGCGCCGCCGCAGCACGCGGCAGCCCAGCTGATACAGGGCAGGCGCGGCCGGGAGGGGG